GCTACTGAAGAGCTCTTTTTAACCATTATAACATAGTCATGTAACCGTGTATTATACTGTATATACAAGTATTTACTTTAGATCAAAAAACATACAGATATATTCACTTGTTGAATCTATAACACTGACTACTTCCCATTTTAACACAGTTAGCTTTTGCTAACAATAGATTACAAGGAGGCGTCCGTGGTTTTTTCGTAAATTTAACGTGGAAATATCTGTACCAACTTGGGTTGTGCGATAGAAAAATGGCTATTGTTAGATATTTTCCTATATCGTCTACATTTACGTCACTAAGGTTGGAGCTAGGAGCTACTAGTGGTGTGCTGTAACAAAAACAAAAACAAGCGTGGAAGTGTGTGACACAGAGCGAAACTCCCCGCAACACTCCGACACAGAACAGGCATCAGCTCATCAGCTTTTCGTGTTCTCATTTCTTATAGTTCTCTTCGATGTCACCTCTATATAAAAGGAGAAAAGAAAAAGTGCCTTTCACTAGTGCCTTTTTTAATTATCGAAAAGCAGGCATGAATGCACGAATGAATGCATTTTGTATAGATAATTTTTTCATCAATTTTAGAGAAAGCATCATATATCGTGATATATACCATTTCAAGATATGAAATCATCCATATTGTGATATAAGATTTTGTCCATATCGCCCAGCCCTAATACTGACTGTAAGATTACCATAAACATTGCCAATGAATGTTTGTTTTCCAATTGTATACTACAATGCTGTTGAATTTCCGACTGGTCAGAAGATGTTCTGTGACATTTGATTTTTCATCTCTTCTTAGCGATGAACCGAATATTCAATTCAATTCAATTTTATTTGTATAGCGCTTTTAACAATGGACATTGTCACAAAGCAGCTTTACAGAAATAAATGGATTCACAAAAAATATACTGTAAATATGTGGATTTATCCCTAATGAGCAAGCCAGCTATCTGTTCATTAACTCTGATGGGTATTCAAACATTAAAATTAGGCAGAAGGCAAATCCTCAGTTCCATTGAAGATCTTCAAAAACACTTTTTAAAATGCTACTTTTACATGTTTGTAAAATCTGCTCCTGTTTATTGTAAATGCTGACCTACTTCTCACTGGAGTGGGGCAAAGCACCCTGTAGTGTTTGCTAAGTATGTAATTGCTTAATTGATGCTGCAATGAGGCTTTGATTGAGCTTCATCCAGTGAAAAGCTCCAGTGTCAACCTGACCAAGAACAACATGTTACCATCCTCGTTTCTTTTAGTCATTCATAAAACACCTCCTTAAACACTTTGTTGTTTTGTAGTGCACCTCAGCCCGCAGGGAATGAATACAATAAAAAGATTATCCAGTTTCATTTGTCTTACAAATTGTGAATAAAGCCTGATACATTTGCAAACAATACAGCACAATTGTTCTGACTGTGAAACACTGTATCCGGTATGATTTTGGATGTTTTGTTGAGAGGGTTTTTTTTTTTTTGTGGTACATGGGCTTGGAATGAATGAGCAATACAACATGGTACACATGGAGAAATAAGATCTTTTTTCCATGCAGTGCTTTCGCATGCAATGTTTTGCCTTATTGGACCAAACAAGGACATGGTCTGCAAAACTCCTTTAATTGCTTTGGCTCATGTACAAATATGTGACTTAATCAGAAAGATTTAGGACTCAGTGATACTCACATTGACCAAT